ACACACACACTTCCCTTTCTGTTTCTCTCCTACCTCCTTCCCCCTCTCACCGCCCCTCACCAACATCAGTGATGTAACAGTTAGGCGCCCTGCTGTCTCATGCGGGAGACCTGGGTTCGATTCCCAAGTGGCGGGGAATTTTATTGAATGTCTCTTGTCTTTGTGCTGGGATGTTGTATGTATCCCTCTCAAGGTACGCACAAAAAGAACGCTTGCTCACGATAAAGTGATTACGATAAAGTGATTACGATAAAGTGATTACGATAAAGTGATTACGATAAAGTGATACGATAAAGTGATTATGATAAAGTGATACGATAAAGTGATACGATTAAGTGATACGATAAAGTGATACGATAAAGTGGTACGATGAAGTGGTACGATAAAGTGATTACGATAAAGTGATACAATAAAGTGATACGATAAAGTGATTACGATAAAGTGATACGATAAAGTGATACGATAAAGTGATTACGATAAAGTGATTACGATAAAGCGAGCCCTTGTGAAGAAAGCTCTTGCTTGTCGTTGAGGTGTACATAGACAAAGATTGCAAATCGCGCTTGGGCTAGTCAGAACTTGGACATTTGTCGCTATGGTGGATTGGAGTGAAGACGAACTATTGTTGCTAGACAGTGTTTTGACGAAAATTATCCTAGGGAAACGCAAAAGAATGGGGGTTCATGAGATAAATAAAAGGAGGCGAGTGGAAGGTGAATATCACCACTTGTTTCCTTGACTTAAAAGGAGCCCTTCACGTATTCAGCCCTACCTGAGAATGAGCCAAGAGACGTTCAACTACAACATCTTTTAAAAAATTGAACCAAAGATAACCAAAAACTGGTGCAACTGGCAGTTCTTCGCTAATATCTTTCCAAGCACGTTTCATAATGTTGCGGTTTGCGTGGTCTTTTCTTTTGTCCGAAATTGCAGGTTTTTTTAACACGGCTGTTATCAGAGACTCGACATCCTTTTTCGGTGAGATTGTCAATGAGACTGAGAGAAAATGCACACCGCACTACCCAAGTCGCGACCAGACAACAAGGGGG